ATTCGAAGAATCATAAATTAACACACTCGGATATTTGTCTCTTCGAATGTGACACTTGCAAAGCAAAATTCAAACAGAAATACCTTTTGAACAGGCATTTATTAATACACTCGGATATTCGTCCTTTCGAATGTAACACTTGTAAATCGAAATTTACATTAAAAAATACTTTAAAGCATCACTTATCAATACATTCGAATATTTATCCTTTCGAATGTGACACTTGCAAAGCAAAATTTAGACTGAAATACCAATTGAAAGCCACCAATTAATACATTCGGATATTTATCATTTTGAATGTGACACTTGCAAAAATTTAGGCATAAAAGCACTTTGAAGAGACACATATCAACAGACTTAAATTAAAAGAATTTCAATTGCAACTCCAAATTTAGAAAAAGAAGTACGCACGCATTCACAAATTTTAACGTAATTTTTGCTTTGCAAAATCTATACTTGAAACAATTTTAAGTGTTTATTCAGCATCCAAACGAGGGTTTTAATGTAACTTGTAAAATATACTCGACAGAGCGTTATGTAAAAGAGTTAGAGACAATCGGTGTGAGCTGTAAATACTTGAGATATACACTTGTTGAATGCCGAATGGCGTGACGTCAATAGACCTATCTCGTATAAATGGAAAAAAGAGCCTAATTGTAATAAATACAAGTTAGAAAGTAATAAAAGATGACATGCGCGCGAAACTCGTGGCTGCAGTGTAGGCAGAATGTATAAAATGTAAATATTACTGTGGTTTAAAATAAAATACTATTAATACCCACTGCAAAATTTGAAAGACATGGATTGAGAGTACCAGCCATATAAATTTTGTCTTCATGTTGTTGGTTGGTTTTTGTTAGTTGGCATGCATATAGCAAGAAAACTAGTCGCTGTGTGGCTCCTACTTCTAACGAAAACTAGTCTCAACCAATGAAATTTACGCTTACTGGTTTGTGATTTCGGTGCCAACAGACATATTGTGGGGCGAGTAAAAATATGGCAACTGGTACTCGACGTGGTTCTGCAAATGATGCTACTGAAAAGCTTATAAATAAAGTATGCTATAATTTTGTTGTCAAACTTGAAGCATCTATTCAACAAATTTGAATAAAAGAATAAGGGTATGAAGACCAATAGAGAGTCGATAACTGTACTGGATTCTTTACACCAACTATCTGGTAGGAAGATTGTTGATTTATTTTGGTATGTGGGTACCAGTAGGTACTTGAATTTTCCAGTCAACAAAGCTGACATCTCCCATTTTGGAGACAGGACTCACACCTGCACACTTCTTGGCTTCAACTTCTTAATGCTTGCTATGATCTGTTCCTTTGTGATAGGGGAGAAAGTAAAATTAACATTACAGCCTTCATTATCAAGACTCTTGGACCTCTAGAACACTGACCTAAAATATAGAACATAACTCTTATAACAGACCTCCATGAGAATTCCAGGTGTTGCACGCTTCGACTTTTCATAGTTCCAAAATTTCTGTTGAAATTTTGTAGTTTTTGTGAGTAAATATTTATGATCATAGTGATTACATTTAGGTAAACCAACAACTAATAGATTTGTATGGATAATTAAAAATATTGTACCAATTAATTACGATGTGTAATAATTTTTGCAATTCCAATACCTACCACCGACCTACTGTACTCAATTTCAAAATCTAACTGAATCTGAAAAGCTTTTTCTTTTAGGTTTATTATAGAAAATTATTATCCAGAGGATGACATCAAAAATGAAATAGAAGTATCAGCTATTGAACTACTAGATCCAAATAAAGGAATATTTATAAAGGAAGAAGAGCAGTCGAGTGACATCAATTTATCGAGACAAGATATTATTAGGAATTACCAATGTTATACTTGCAATGCTATATTCAACACCAAATCAAATTTGAGGCGTCATTTAATAACACATTCAGATTTTCGGCCTTTTGAATGTGACACTTGCAAAGCGAAATTCAAACAAGAATATGATTTGAAAAGACATCTATAACACACTTATATAACAAAGATTTTCGGTGTAACATATGCGAAGCTAAATTGAAAACCAAAGGAAACCTAAAAACTCATTTATTGACTCATTTCGATATTTATCCGTTTCAATGTGACACTTGCAAAGCAAAATTTGAACAAGAATATGATTTGAAGAGACACCTAATAATACACTTGTATAACAAGGAAGAGGAATATTTAAGTGTCGCGAGTTCATCAGGACCAGATGTCATAAGGAAGTTCCAATGTTATACTTGCAATGCTGTATTGAAGACCAAAACAAGTTTGAAAAATCATTTAATCACACATTCGGATATTCGTCTTTTTAAATGTGACACTTGCAAAGCAAAATTCAAAAAGAAATACAATTTGAACAGGCATTTATTAGTACACTCGAATATTCGTCCTTTCGAATGTTACATTTGCAAATCAAAATTTAAACGGAAAAGCGATTTGAAGAATCACAAATTAAACCACTCGGATATTCATCCTTTTGAATGTGACACTTGCAAAGCAAAATTTAAACAGAAATACCATTTGAACAGGCATTTATTATTACACTCGGATATTTGGTCTTTCGAATGTTACACTTGCAAAGCAAAATTTAAACGAGAAGATTATTTGAAGACTCACTTAATGACACATTCAGGAATTCGTCCTTTTGAATGTGACATTTGCAAAGCAAAATTTAAACGAGAAGATTATTTGAAGACTCACTTAATGACACATTCAGGAATTCGTCCTTTTGAATGTGACATTTGCAAAGCAAAATTTAGACAAGCAAACCATTTGAAGAGTCACAAAGTAACACACGTGAATATTTATCTTTTTGAATGTAACACTTATAGAGCAAAATTCAAACAAAAAAGCATTTTGAAGACACACCTATTAACACACTCGATTGAGAAGAATGTTAAATGTAACATATGCAACGCTAAATTTAAAACTAAGGATAATTTGAGACGTCATTTAGTGAGGCATTTAATGTAACTTTTGTAAATGCAAAACTATCTTCGAATTATCTGAGAGAAAATCATCAGTTTTTGTATGAAATAACAACTATAAAAAGTCTTTCAGCAGTATGCCTCATCCTCTTTTAACTTTAAAAGCGACTTTGACAGTGTCAATTTTAAAAATTTGTATTGCTTAAGCCCCTGTTAAGCACTCACTGGGCGAATTTCACGGACTTTTAATATAATGTATCGTGTCAAATCCAAATCTAAAAATATCCGCCGCGGCAAATTTCAACTTTTCTGCGATTTAACATAAACATAACTCCGAGTCATTATTAGACTATCCAAGATGCTGTCAAGTTAAATACCAAAATGGCCGCCTGAAGATACAGAAAAGGATCTTATTTTTGATGTACTAAGTGCGGGTACTGCAAAAAAAAAGTTGCTACAATACAATATCAAAAATCTAAAAAATCAAACGGCAAACCATTTTCAAGTTTAAACTAATCTTCTTAATTCACTAACAATAACAGTAGTATTAAGAAAGTCAACATTATTATTCTAGTTATTATAGAATTACATTGCTCCAATATGCTTTAGAGGGCTATTTAGTGAAGACCTAAGATACTGAATAATTTATTGTAATTAGATCTAAGATTTACCTCAGGTACATGAAAATTAACAGCATTGATTATTGCCCAATTTTGATATTTACCATTGTTTAATAAATAAAACATAAAAATCATAGAGCGTTGTCTTCTATCACAAAGTCATTGGTATTTGTATGTGTCTAACATACTCTGATGAAAAATAAGATAAGAATAGGAACTGAACTGTTATCTTTTAGGTACAAGAATCTGAGAAATTTCTTCACTGTGATACTGGGCCCTAGTCGACCATACTATTGACGCATATTCTAGATAGGGTCTGACCAGTGCATTATAGAGTTTTATAACTGTACCCAAATGTTCAAAACTTATCAAATTGTGTAAGACTCCTGGTAGGACTATTTTTTTATTATTCCTCCGAGTATTCCTCTATTTGTAAATCCATTCATGTGCCAATTGCTTCCTGAAAATCTCATAGATACCTACCACAACTAAACATACCTCAAAAACAAGCTCTACAACAAAACATCACTTTTACAGAGTCGAACAAAATTTGAAGTCATACCAGGCATGGAAATACAAATCCCTCCATAATCTTGCTCAAAAGGGATTACTTGCATTTACATACACCTCATACATTTCAGCCTGTAAAGAGGCGAGTAAAAAAAACGGTTTATAAATGTATCCATAGTAAGCAAAACATTCCTTTCTAAAAAAAGTGGCATGAACGAAGATAAAATTCCGTTCTCCTTTTTGATTTTCTGGTAAGTGTTAGGTACCTGTAACAAAGAAGGAACCTAAAAATTATATACCTGAAGTCAAATCTAAGTTATTTCTTACCTCGTATAAAAATGCCATAAGTTTCTTGCATGGAAGAGAAAAATACATGGCTTTCATAAAACAAATGAGTTGAATGGGAAACTGGAAGAAGGAATAATTTCACTATAAAATGTTCCAGTTACAATTTCAAGTTATTGCTTATCTCATATATAAATGCCATAAGTTTCTTGCTCGGAAGAGACAAACACATGGCTTTGATGAAATAAATGAGTCGAATGGGCAACTGGAAAAAAGACTAATTTCACTATAAAATGTTCCAGTTACAATTTCAAGTAATTTCTTACCTCGTATATAAATGCCATAGGTTTCTTGCATGGAAGAGAAAAATACATGGCTTTCATAAAACAAATGAGTTGAATGAGAAACTGGAAGAAAGTATAATTTCACTATAAAATGTTCCAGTCAGTCACAATTTAATTTTTTTTACCTCATGTTTAAATGGAATGAGTTCTTTGCACAGGATTTTGGTAAAATAAATTAGGCAAATGGAGAAAAAATAAAGTCAACAGGGAACTACAAAAAAAAATAGTAATTTAGAAAATACCTAATTTAGAAATAGGGTATTTCTCTACCTTATAATATATAAATGATTAATATTATTTGGAAGAGTACTTTTTCACCAATTCTGGAATCATATGTTCCTGGTAAAAGTTGGTCAGTTTTGGTAACATTTCCTCATTCCAAAACTGTTCATCCCGTAGGATGGCATCAACATACAAGGGTTGCTCATCATTTATATAAACCACAAAAAAGCAAATATCTTTTTTGCAGATGTTGAGTTGTCCCTGGACCTGAAAAAATCATACTCAAAAATTGGCCAATAAAAAGCTTATATTGCAATGATAACGTACTTGGTAATAATAGTGGTGTTTTCTTTTCAATCTCAGTTGTTCTCTTCCTGTTTCTGAGACATACTTTTCCACACACAAAGTCCTATCTGTTAAAACTGCCTCTTCCAAAGTTTTGCCAGATTTGTGGACCTTGTGTAAGCATTTAATCTCCATAATACCATTCAAATTCACCAGTGCTAAGAAAAATTATGTATTAGTCAAATAAATATGTATGTGCATACACATACAAAGCAACGTAACATTATTTCAACTTACCATCAGGGGTTGCAGCAAGATAAGTAAGTGGGATCAATAAACAGTCCACACTCCCGAACTGTAGCCTGCCTCTCCTTGGCAAATCATTCCCGCGCCACAGCTTCTTGGACTTTGCCATAGTCCATGGCGACAGTTCTGATATTGGTGGGATTTATAATCCTTTTAACCAACTTGTCAGGAGCAGTGGATTGCCTTCTTCGGCAGACTTCACCAAAATTGGATGCTGTAAGGCGGTCCTTTCAGTGAAGTTGGTAAAGCCTATTTTCCCACTGGCCAATGGTTTGCTGCTCTACGATGGATATGTCGATCGGCAGTACCTAAAAACAAAAATTACTCAGAATAATAATTACAGATACACCTGGAGATAAACATACTTTCAGTCTATTTAAAAGCCTACTTTTCTCAGACTGAAACTCTTCCTCTGTGAGAGAAGCTTGTGCGGCATTTGGCCCATATCCTGCTGCTTCTTTCGAAACTTTCTTATTAGGAGGTTTTTTTTTAGGATTTCCTGGAATCTGCGCTCTACGTGCACTGTCATATTCACGTCGCTTTTTGCATTTTCTCACAAACGATTGAAAGGCAGTACCTGGCACCGTTGGCCTCGAGTCCAGCCAAGTGGAGCTCTGCCAATCTGCACCTTTATTGTACCGAAGTCCAGACAAATAGGCTCTTGTTTGCAAGGAGCCTTTTTGGATGGTATTCAACCGTTTGCCTGCGTTAAATTTGCAAAGCAAGGACATAAACATCTCAGCTCGATTGTTTGTTTCATTATAAATCAATTTGTGGCCCTGGCTTACCACAATTCGCTGAAGCACGGTTGTTATCCGATTGAAAATGCCAGCAATCTCCATTTCTGCCACTTTATTGCTGAAATCCCCAATACATTGACAATATAAAGGATTACATGTGAGGTGATTTCCAAAAACATGATAAGGCCCATTTTCCAAATCAGTTTTTAAATTGTCGACATCTCCATGTGCGTTGATATATATAGCTTTTGTAGCTATATTTTCAAGATCCTTTATGGCATTCACCGTCGAATATTTTCGACCAGCAGCAGCAATGGTGGTATCGTTTTTTAATTTGTATAGCGCAGTTCCATAGTTTTTGATAATATGGTTTTTGCAAGCTATTTTCCTCACTTCATTTCCATAAGGAACGGTTTGCTGAATTTTTGCATGTACACTGCTGTCCCCATCAGCAATGAAATGCAAATATTTTAAACCATGCATCTTGATGCTCTCGCGAAATCCTTCACTAATAATGTCTGCCTCCATAGCCCCGGATGACCCATTCCAATTTTTGAAGCAAAGGTGCTCATGGGGTTCCTCACCTTTTTTCTCTGCCTTTGCGCAAACACAACAGTATTTATTTCTGACACCAAGAAATAATATTTTGCCAGTGTGCTTTCCAATTATTACAGCCTGAAAAAAGATATGGAACAAATAAGTTTGTTGAACCAAAATAAAGATATAGTCTTTGATACAGATAGTATTATTATTATACAGAAGATTGAAAAAACAAAGTCATTAGATTGATACTCACGACCCCCGAAGTTGCATTATAATTATGACCATACGATCTGTGGCTCCATCCGCCATCTAGATAAACAGTGACCCACGGAACTCCGTCCACATCTAGGGCATTGGTGGCCACAGCATTGTCATATTCTTCCTTGCCAGCCTCTTCCATGCTGTCCCAAAGGGTTTATTTCCAATCGTTGGCAAGTTTCAGTTCCAATTTGTGGTACATTCGATATGACAATGGTGGTATGTTCATGATACTTAGAAATTCGGTCATTGTTTTAAATGTAGTACCTCCACTAAATGTGGCCCAAACACAGGCATAATTTAATTGAAGCCGGATTTCTTCAGCACCTTTTATATTGCACAGATTACATATAGGGATAATATTTCAGTATAGCTAATATTTACCTTTCTGTGTACGACATTTTGTTTGAAAGTTGCACATATTACAACAAAAAACAATGGTGCTGACAAGTCCATTGCGAATTTCTCTGTGCACTTTCAATAGTCCAAGGGTACATCTTTGACTATGTTTGAATTGAAGCTCCATACAAATCTCTGTTACATACTCCAAATCAACAATTCTGTTTCCTTGGATAACTGTCGAGTCTGGTCGTGGTATTCTTTCAACTTCTATAATGTGTTCATTGACTCTGAAAACGTGTAAAAAAATAAAAAGATGTACCTAACTTTTTATGAATATTTTATCTTACTCATTATATTCCTCTTGGCTTATAAATGAGAACTCATGAAGCTGTTCATCAGGCAAAATAGACATTGCTGGGTCTTGCTCAGATTGTAGAGGGTAAGCGCCAGAAGTAGATTGATTATTTTCTTCCACGAGGTTGAAAGAAAATTTGAAACCTGCTTTTATGTGTGTATTTTTTTCTCATGAATAAATTTTGACACTTACATAATAACGCAGTTGTTCTCTTGGTCTTGGGATACTGGTGATATCATATTAGATAAGAGTGTGTTTGTGTTTTCTTGATCTTGGGCCCTACAAAATTTAAAAAAAAAACAACTTTTTTGCAATATATAGTTATGTATGTTTTTCCTATTATCAGCTTGCTCGCCTCTTGCACCTACAAAAGCTGCTTATTGGGGGCAACCGAAAAAGGCAATATAATTTCATTGTAGAAAAACAGTTACAAACTGAGTACGTCCAGAAATCGAAGTTGTAATTTACCTCTTTGAACACACTGAAGAACACCTGGCTCTAGAGCTTTCACCACCTGCATTCCTGCTGGCATAGGAATGTTCTCGCAAGACCAATCTGTAATGATGAATAATGTAGATGTAGAATAAATTTATTAGTGTAGGAAATAGAAACCAAAATTTTCAAACACTTTACTGCTCTAGAATTTAGTTTCTTCTTTCTAGTAAAAAAGGAAATCGGTACTTACCTACATTTTTTTTCTAAAAAAACTTTCCCGAAGATGCTAGGCTCTATTGGTTTTTTTAGGAACATAGTAATTTTCTTTCACTTTACCCATTATTTCACAAAAGAAAATCACAAAATATAAAAAATAATTCAGTGAAAATTCCTTATAACTTGTACGTACGATGCACGCAAAAGGCAAGCAAGAAATAATCACAAGAATCGTCTTTTTCACTCTTCCAAGTTTTTCACTGACCTTGGATTCTTTGCCATAAAAAAAAAATTACCCGGCAAACTAGTTCAAAATAAATTTCATTTATTTATCGCCAAAGTTCTAACGACAATCGAAACAAACAATCGCGCTAGTGAGTAAATGGTTTTCTTTGTCTAATACCAAAAAATAGACAAAGACAAACATAGGTCATCAATAGTTGCATTCCTTTCAAGAGCTTGAAGCACTCGAGCTAGTCGCTCCGGTGTTCAGTCGCTCCCGATTTGCAGGGAACAAATGCGTGGTGCAACAAACACTTTCCGAAAGGAATAAGCGCGTGAAGCCCCGGAGCTGTTCCGGACCTCCTCCTAGGTGTGAAAGGAATACAACTATTGAGAACCGATGAACTTTTTTTTGTCTTATTTCAATTACAGTAGAAGAAAGAAAGAAAGTACTGTATATGCGGCGTCAAAAAACAGTCGAGGCCAATCAAATATTTGTAAAACCAATTGTTTTGAACTCCTATATCAGTTTTTTCGGATCGAAGAAATTTCTCTACTAATTCAATTCACTACCTATAGTCTGGCAAGTGGTAACTTGGTAGAGACGAAAGGGGGAAGAAAACTGGGGCGTGACCTAAAAATATTCACTGACACCTCAACTGACACCACCCGATGACAGCCATGTCTTTCGGTTCAGTGGCACCGGAAACACCAATAAAATTATTAGAAAAAAAAATTCTTTAGTTTCGCCAATAACCACGCCACTGCCTGCTGTCGTTCAGACTCTAACCAATAGAATCATACCTCTGAATAATCACGCCTCTCCACATCTATCATTTTGCAATGTTGCCGGATTTTTTTCTATATCAAAATACTACACATGCCCATATAGCAAAAAAAAATGTCAGCAACTTGTTTTTCATTATTTCCGTCAAGTTTGGCAAATTAGCAAATTCTTTTGCAGTTCGCCGTTTCGCTAGCCAGACTATACTTACCTACCTATTTTTTACATACATATTTATGAATATCATTAGTTGTATTCTTTTGAAGAGTTTGAAACACTCGAGCTACTCGCTCCAGTGTTCAGTCGCCCCCGATTTGCAGGGAACAGATGCGTGGTGCAACAAACACTTTTCGAAAGAAATAAGCGCGTGAAGCCCCGGAGCTGTTCCGGAGCTCCTTCTAGGTGTGAAAGGAATACAACTATTTAGAAGCGTTGCAGAAATCCAAAATAAAAAAAAAATGAAAATTTGAAAAATTGGCAAAAGATTATACCTACCTAGTGGAAATATTCCGAAATCAATACAAGGCAATTTCTTCATACATAAAAACCTGTTCTATTCCTAATAAAGTAAAATAGGAAAAATAAGTATATCAAGTTTGGTTGGGCCAGACGAAATAATAATGGCAATTTCCCGAGCAATTCCCATTAGTCAATCAGTGCGAACTGAGTGAAAAAAGTTGCACTGATTCTGCAAATTGAAATCGCTATTATTTCAAATCTTGGCGCCATCTATAATTTTTTTTATAACTAAAAATCTAATTTGTATCGTGTGCATGGGAGCGATGTTGCCCCCTTAATACATGTTTTTGTTATTGAAACCCCAGAAAGAGCTGAACAACCGAAGTTGAATAATGTGCAACGACCATAGAGAAATATAATAGTAGTAAACTACGAGAGACGTTTGTTTAATGTAACAATCTGGAACTGTGTTTGTGCACATACCCGTAGCGTATTTCGCATGGTGTGGCAGATTATTGAACTAAATACTTCGATCGTTTCTAACAACTCGGTTTAAGG